TTTTCGAGACAATCGAACACGACATAGTCGAATGACTTCGATTTCTTGCCTACTTCTTGTCTTTCAACGAGAGCTATCGAATTTGATCCACGAGCGACTGCATCGATCGCGGTTGTATCAACTTTTCTTTCTCGTCGGATGGAAACATGGCCGAGGAGTGTCGAGGAGTGCTGCCGGCCAAGAAAGTGCGCGTCGGAAGCGACCGCCAGGAAAGAAAATCGCCAGAGGAATCGTCGTACGCCGAGCACCAAGAACTGCGCGATTTCCCCGTGTGCTTTGCCGATGTTCGACGTTTTGTTTCGTTCAATTATCGCCACATATTCGCCTCTGCATATTATCGCCATCGACATTCAATTACGATCCGCGTGTTACGTTACACAATAATATTACTTACCGATGAATTTCGAGCCGCGAGAAAGACAGAAACTGAAATTCGAGAAAGTGGCCGAAATTTTACGAACGGCGTGCGAATAAAGAATTGCCCCGTTTCATTTTTTAATATTCCGCGTGTAATTATCGATCAAACCTGATCTTTGCAATATATACTCGTTAAATCATGCGCTATCGACCGACCCTTTTTTTCCCCAGCGATTATTTATCCTTCCATGTAATAACCGATATGTAATAGCGAACGTGAATTACCCTCGTATCTCGTAGGTAATTTTACATCTCGTAAAAGTTTGACAACTTTGAGTCCTCTGTTCTGCTCCCGTTCCTCTTTTTTTCTTCTTTTACACATTTTCCATATTTTCCGAATGCTTTAACGCTCGGAAAATCAATAGAAAAGGAATGACACGGTAAGAATTTGTGTTCGTTAACCATCTGGTGCATTTTGCCAATTTATTCCTACGATTTACCATGAAACTCTTTCTATTGAAATACATTAAAATGTGCAATAATAAAAACGTCGTTTTTTACAGACTCAATTATTCAACGTCCGCGTGTCTTTCATCGTGATATAAAGACAATACACGCGTGGCAGAATATTATCAGATCGGAGATATCAGAAACGATTGGAAATATCGATAACGAGTCGTATAAAAGTGAACACCAGCAAAGCAACGACGCAACTAAGGCTAAGCCTTCTCGATCCAATGTGTTGTCAATGTATATGTTCGTGACTGATGAAAAATAAAAATGGAAAAGAGAAAAGAGAATGAAAAAGAAAAAAGAATGCGTGTGCGTTTGTATCTCTTATATGGTTTTTTTTTTTCTCTCTCTTCAGTTTACATGTGTATAAAACGCGCGTTTATGTATTAATCACCATCACGCGTACATTTTGCTGTACACTCAAGAAGTCACTGCACGAAATACGACCGTTCGAAAACATTCACTCTATTTTCACGGATCCCATTGTCCTCTTATCCGTTGCTTAGGGAACGTGTTCTTATCACCAGCAGTTCCTTCGCACCAGTATCCGTATAAATCGATTTTAACGGTATAACGAACCGGCGAGCGAATATCTATTCGAAAAAGGCGCGTCAGCCAGGGAACAACCTAACCTCAACGCGCGGGTTGTCACGCGGTTCGACGGTACGGCGCAAAAACTCCGGATGAAAACAGTAAACCTGGTCTTGACAGCTCGTCGGTACGTATCGTGTGGAAAACTGAACTCGCAAGGACCACGTGGAAAAACGTAACTCTAAATAGCAAGCCGGACGACGAAATCGGCGAAACGATGGGACGCGGGTGAATTCAAATTCAAACGAGCCGTACAATCCCGCCACGATAGGTCACTACGACCTAACCTCTCGGCGAATGATAATACCCGACGAGTACCTCAACTAGTGGCTCGATCGCCCGGGTACGGGACTCTGGTAATGCACTAAACGTGGTGAGCCAGGTGCAAGAGAGGGGTGAGTACAAGAGGAAGGCGCCAGGCCCGTGCGAGCAACCTCGTGGACATGCGAGTGCAGACTGATTGGAGTGTGAGGGTACTTACCCACGAGTCGTGAGAACGGCGGCGGTGGCGGTGGCGGTGGCGGTGGCGGTGGCGGTGGTGGAGGCGAGGTAGAGGCGTGGAGAAACAAACCGGCGGCGGTGCTGGCGTGCGCGCGTGTTTTCCGCCGCCATTACTGGCGCCACTGTAGCACCACTTTCGCAACGCGCATGCGCGGCATGCGCACACGCTCAATGCGCAACTGTTGCCGCGATGCACCGAGGTTTAATCGTGCGCTGACTGCGCGACTGGCAACATCTTCTTGTATCGTTTGTTCCGACAGGTCTACGCCAAACTGTCTTTCTCCATAAATAGCTTCGTCGACTCCTTCGGATCCTGTGAGCAAAGAAAAGTGGATAGGTCTACGTGAATTGTAACAAATACGTTGAACTTTCTAACTTATTATTAAGTGTCTAATTTTACAATCAGAATGGATCGCTCATGGCTTATGTAATTTTATCACCTATGGTCGTGACAGAAAGCTAGTTAATATATTCCATGATAAATATGAATATAGATATTTTAAAAGACATTTCTTTTTTTCATTTTATGTGCAATGCATCAATTTTGACTCTGCAATTAATACACGTTAATGTATGTGGAATAATATCACTTAAACCTGGATTTAGAAAAAATAAAATTTAGAAAAAATATACACCAATTATTTCTTATCCGAGGCTTTCAAAGCTAGTAAGTGACGATTTGTAAATGTACGAAGCATTTTTCAACAGTCTAATTTGTGTTGCAACATAAAAGACGTTTGGGAACTGAAGAAATCCTTCCTTTTTATATAAGTCTGTTCTAACAGATTTTGTAATTGTAATAATATGTGATAAAAGCATTTAACAGTAATTCGATTTTGAAGCTATTTGGCAAATACATCAGATTTTTGATTATTTAAAATTGTTTTACGATCATATTATTACACATACGTAAATTACGTTATGCAACGTAAGAAAGATATCTTTGACTGTAACATCAACAGACAACACTGCATGTTTATTTTTATAAAATTGTATAAACTACGTGTGAACATTTTACGCAAAGTTTTTTAAATAAAGAATTCAATACAATATTTGTAACAGTATTTACAATTATTTATAACTCCTTTTGCCTTAAAATTTCAACGAACGTCTGCACTAAAGTATTCAGTAAACTGTCGATAAAAATATCCAAGTATTCAAACGTAATGTAGAAAATGTCGAATTATATGTAATTTCGTATTCATAACTTTTGATGGTAAAGATAAGCCAGATTATTATCTGAATGAAAAAACGGAAATAACGATATACTTTTTTATATAAGTACTTTACTATTTTCGAAAAGAGATTCGAAATTCATTAATGAAAAAATTGTTTGTGGAATGAGCGAAATACCTAGGTAATTACATAAAAATGTTTAAAACTGCAAACTTTATTGTATAACTTGCACATGAAAAGCAGGATTCTGAATTTTAATAGGAAATACGATTTTGTATGCGATATCGAATTGTGGATTTATTCTGAAATAAAACTTTGAATGATACATACATAACAAAATAATCTAACAATGTATCAATCTGCATTATATTTTATCTACGTTCTTCGTAAATTTGGTTGTTGTGAAAAACAATGTTGATCCTATTGAAAAATTTATCATTAATGTGAAAGTCGAAAATATAAAAACTAAAGGAAATACAACTAATTAAATTTCTCAAACATTTCGACATTAATTAAAAACAGAGTACATTGCTAACTATGTTAATCACGGAACAACTGAAAATATTTTTTTTTTTAAATAAATAAATGAGCAAAATCATAAGTATATATTAAAATCTTTTAACAGACTTGCAATTTTGAAATTCTTCGTAAGAAAATATGAATATTATTAATATACCAATAATGATATAATATTATAAATTTTAAATAAATATTACCATCGCATACAACTAAAAAGTACTTGAATGCAATTAAAGTACTAAGTGCTTCCCTCTATTGCGGAAGAAGTGGAGGTTACATATTAAATTAAATGCAGCAAGCATAGATATATTACCGACAGAAAATTTATCATCGATATGTTATCGACAAAGTCTGTTACGTGTGTTTCTACGTACGATAACTATAGAAATCTATAAAAATTTACAGACGAAATAACTTTAGAACTGAATTTTTAAATAATGATTCTGAATATTAAACATTATCTAATATTTCCAATAATTTAATTGCAAAGTTAAACAATAAATTCTTTTCTGTAACATTTCTAAATGTCATTTAAAATTTTTAACTAACAACTTATAACAAAGTTGTGAAAATTATTAAATAATGTCTAGAAATATTGTAGAAATAAAACAATTTAATTATTTCAAATGAATTATTCAAATTGAAATAATGTATTTCGATGATATTTTTGTATATTACTTAACAATTTTAACAATTTACTTAAACAATTGACACAATGACTGAATTCTCAAACATAATTTCATAAACTGAATAATTCACTTACAATAATTAAATTATTTCATTTACAATAACAGAAAAAGACGTACATAATATATATATTTCTGTCTGAAACAATAAACGAGCGAAAATTTTTATATGCTGCGCGATTATTCTAAAGCGACAATCACCGCTTAATATAATTTTTGACCAGTTTTAGCGGTTAAAAAAATTAATAAAATATTACTATTATTTAACATTGTAACATGTTCATGAAAGTGTAACTTTGCGATAGAAATGTAAAAACTATTAAATTATTGATTAGATAGTACAATAAAAAAACTGTTTTTAGAAATACTAAAAAAAATTATCAATTGTTCCGTTTCACTGACGAGCGAAACATTACATTAACCTTGAGCGGTACGGAGACTCATTATCAATTAATTTTTACATGTAAACAACAACGATCAAATTTTACAAGTTTGTTTGAAAAAAAAGTTATCAATTGTTCCGGATCACTGACGACCGAAATATAAGATCAATCTTGAGTGGTATACGGGCACT